TAATGAATAAGCTCACTCTTTATTGTACACCACCAGCACACATTGGGAAATTCCTGTTAATCTAGATTGTCTACTTTTTGACAGATAGACAAACAGACAAAAAATAGACCATCTAGTCTTAGTTTTTTGGCTTCCTGTCAACCCTTGATTCACTCTTCTTGACAGAAAGTCTAGATCTACTACTACTAGTCTGGAATCCAAAAATGAAAATATGTTGAAAGACTCAACTGAAAAGACCCGCCAAACTTAAGACTGAATAAATTTACTAAAATACCTTGTACCTGTCTTTAAAAATATGAAGGCACCAGTGCCAGTATAAACAATGTCCCCTATCTTAGTTGCTACAGTATACATTAGATTGAAACAAAGAGAGGTACAACTGCTGGAGATTTTCTTGTGTCAAGGACCACGCTTTGACACAAGAAGGAGAGGGGAGGGGGGGATCCCTCTCACAATATTCATCCCACAAGCAGCAACAAAGATGTTGACTGGTCCTTATGCTRCCATTCCTCCTTGTAATGGAGAGCRCTTGCCTCCACTAGTGCCAGTCCCTCCCTTGGGAGTGCAACCAAAAGTAGAGGGGTTGGGCCAKAAGGCCGGTACTGCAAACTACTTGGAAGAAGAGCTCATCTTGTTGATGACTCTCATCAAGGAGATCCTCCCCTTTGGTAAGGGTGATTGGCTCATGGTAGTTTACAGACATGGACAGAGCTACCCCYAAGGTAGAACAAAGGATTCCATCAAAACCAAGTTTAATTGATTTGAGGAGAYAGAAGGCACCTCCTGRGAATCCCATTGTTTGATTTGAATCAAGGCAAATCTTGGAACTGGAGAGGAAAACTTTCATCCAGTGAAAGGTTACACCAATGATGAGGATGTAGAGTTCTTGGAGAAGACTTCCTCTTCCAGCAACACAGCGTCAACAACCAACACAACCATCATTGACAAGGGTCCCGCCATTGTGGTATCAGTAAAAATTAGATCCTATAGTAGGCTGAAGAAGGAAATTTCTGAACAGGATGCTGTTCTTAAGGTGTATCTCATGCAACAGGACAAGAGGGAAGCTCAAAGAGACAAGAAGGCTGATGAGAGGGTGAAAGCAAGAGCGCAGAGGACCAACAAGCAAAATGAGAAGTGGCTTACCTTTRCTTAATCATTTGCCTCAACAATGGCAATGGCACTTGCTGGTAGTAACAGTAACAAGCACCAACCTGCCTGCAGTGGTAGTAGTGAGTCCCATGGTGATAGCAAATAATTCCAATTAGTTCCTATTATAACAGTTGAGATTTAAATCAATTCAAAGTATAGTACAGGAATAATGAGCAACTCAATGATGAGCAAGCTGTATCCCCTCTTCATGTTACACCGCTTTATTTGATGTTTCTTATGTGTTAGACCGCCTTATTCCAAATTTTTGCCATGGTTTTGCATGTTGCTAGTAGCATTATGGGTTTTGTGGATACCCTTTGTGGGAGCCATTGAAACTGGAATATACTGTAATGAAGATGAATATCTTAAGCACCAAGGCAGAGCAATGCAATGTCTCAACATATTCTATAATGAAGAAAAGGTATGCAAACAATGCATATGAATGCCAAAACRAACCCTGGTTCGCGGGACTGCACGTGTGCTCAATATGGACACAAATGAGTTCTTATCCCAGTTTCAACCGGTACTATCAGCAAAATTGAGAATAACATGGTCTAACACAGTCCAATACCTGCTAACAAAAAGCTTGTTGTCCTCTGCTGCTAGATTTGCTGCTCACTATTTTGATATCACTACATGTAAGAACAGTCAATCTCATTCCTTGAACAACTAAACATAACTTATCCAATATAACCATTTCTCCTTCACCATGGTGAGTACCGTGCTACTGCATTGAATGTCAAGATCCAATTGTGCCCAATGGTCGTACTGCACTGGTAGTTGTACAAGTTGACCAGCAGATGGAGTTTGRTCTTCCTTTTTCCATAGTCCTCCAGTCTAAGCTTATCTTTCATCCTGGACAACTGTCCTTGGATCATCCTCATCCCCCACTCAGACATCTGTCTCAGSAAYGTGGCATCCTATCTTAATCCTCTGGATCTGTCTGAGAACTTTGAATCAGATAGTCCCTGYCCAGCAAACCAAAAGTCAAATCAACAACAACCTTTGCTCCTCCATCACAGGTGCTGTCCATTTGGGCCATCTTGTCATAGTAGATTCCATAGTCACTGATGGAGCTATCATGCCACCTKCCTGGGCAATTAAAGGTTCAAATGCAGATCCTACCACCAGGTGCAAAMACAAARACCCMATTCACATAAATATTTGCCTTCCATCCATTGAAGAAGAAATATTGTTTGAGCCACTCTTCTGAAGACTGGATCTCAATATTGAACCCATCTGCTGCTACCCAGACATGTTGTTCTCCAAGTCTTGGATTTTTGCTCCAATAGCTCTAACATACTCATTGCTTTCTTGCTCACTTGACAGACTGACCATGACAAGTGRATGGTTATGAAGCACTGATAGGAGGATTATCATGGAGAACTTGAGCCATTTGTACATCACTGTCAATATTGGACCAAATGCCATTGTCATTCCCCTCCTGGCAACAGACCCTCTAGTTCTGTATCAGAAGAGCACTAGTCCAAGACAACAAGTTGCATCTGCTTCCATGGGCTTCCCCTTCTTCCTTCCACTCTGARKGGAAGGGGGGAGGAGTACAATCTTCTTGTTGTTATCAGCTTTGTTGTACTTGTAAAAAGCTGGACTAAAAAGCTCAATGAGATCTCCAAAGACCTTGTGGTCTAMTCCACAACAGTTAAGAAGCGCTTGGTCATCCCCTTCRTGGAAGAGGAAGATAAAGGGTGAGTCTACATATCTCCTAATTGCAATCCTAGGCATTCTTCTATCCCTTCTGCATCTCTCCTCTTGGGTCTTCTGTTTCCTTTTCATTCCTCCACCAAGTGATCCTAGCTCAGCTGTAATGTGCACTCTTGGGTTTAGATCAGTTGTGGTGACCACTTTGGCTACTCCCTTTAAGATTCTGCGTCTTAAAGTAGGGGGTGACAAAGCAGCCGAGTGAAGAGTGGGCTGCCTTCCCTCCTCCCTTCATTGTGGCCTGTAGCCCTCCTGACATTATTCCCAGACCCTGTTGCTCTAATCCAAGTTCAACAAGGTCAGTTTTCCAGTTTGAAAACCATATTTTCAAGTTTGTTTGGGTGGTTCAATGGGCATGTTGGTCTTCAACTTGATGCAACACCTGTGCATTTAGGTTGACTGTGGTTCGATCTAACACACAGTAATAAAAACTGCTCTGTGTTGAGGACATCATCAATCCAATCGTGGCATTGAGCCSTCTAATGAGAGGTGTCTGATCAGTACCAACAGCATCACCATTGGCCTGGMTAATCTGCACAAATGTCTCAAATGCTGTCAAAACCAAATCCATAGTGTTTTGAGTAATGTTTCCAGGACAGGGACCCTTTCTGGCAGGTGGCAGCCCTGCATTTCCCTCCCTGACGTACCTGAGCACAGTGTGATGATTGAGTTTTGTGTCATACTAYTCATTAACAGCCTTCATGATTGGGTCAGCACTCCATCCATTTCCTTGTGGATCTGCTTTTGCCTCTTGATACAGTGTGGTTGCTTTGATGTGGGCTCATGCAATGTTTTCAAGCCTGATTTTCTTGTTGACACGTTCAATTTGAGCATTCCTTGTTGCATTATCTTTGGTATCACGGATGCCTTCTAGCTTCATCTTCTTGCTTCTATTAGAATCATTTTGACCAGCAAAAGACAGAGTACCATAGGAATATCCTTTTGGAGGAGTGTTGCCCCCAGTGCCAGTAGTGGGAGTTGCTCCCAGAGTAATGCCAGTG